AAGATACAGCACAAACAGTATAAAAATTAGTGTAAAATATTTTTTGCATCTAGTGAGACTTAAAATAATACAAAATGACTTATGACTTCAGGTGCTTTAGTGGCTTATTGGAGCCTTAAAGTATATGAACTGGGAACTCCAGGAACTCTATACGAAGCTACGGCACAAACTGCATCAGACAGAGCACAACTAACTTTCAAAACTTGCCAACTGAGCCTACATCATGCTTTCAGGTTTGTTCTGTTCAGCAGGTCTCTCTCTAGGCAACAGTCAGTCTGTTAAGAATCACACTGATTATGATTTTTACTTCTCATTTTAACCTAAGCCATTTTACATAAAATCTACCTGCTATTTACTAAACCTCTAGACTGAACAAGTATGTCATAAAATCAGACATAAAAGAAGAAATCAACTTATAGCTTAGTAAAATGTAAATAAAATGTCACTAATCTTCTTTCAAATATGTCCAGCTATTATAAGTGTATTTAATGCTACTTGATAAATTTCTTTAAGTTGATTTTATTCTCAAATTTATTTTATAATTATGTTTAGTAATAATGCATCCTACTTACGATCTATTTTATTCTTAGGATGGTATTACAAAAGAGAAGTTCAGGCATAGATAATATCTTTAGTTGAATTTGTTCAGTTCCCTTTGCTGATAGGTCCTTAATCTTTTTCATTAATGATCCTTAAAAGTACTTAATTTCCATGTGTATGAACCTTGTCACAGTGAAATGTTCATACCCAGCATTTCTTAGTTCTTCTTGCTTATATCATCCACGATGTTTTCTTGAATGGCGGTCATTAATGTCATAGCACAACGATCAGAAATGGCGACCAGAAAGCATTCTTTGCTTTCCCAGCATAAACTTCTGAATACCCATTGTTCCAGAAGAATACGTCCAATGTTGTTTTTTTCTTCTTGTAAAAAGACTTTCGTCTATGTCTATGATTTTGTTGGCTTCACCTATTTTAATATTTTTATGAGACATCAAATTATTTTCACATACCTCCCTCAGGTAGTTTTTCCAATCTACTGTCGTATTATGGCTCATTTCTAACTGAAGTTCGCAAAATTTAATCAATGTCAGTTCTTAACACAACAGATAGATGAAACAAACAACATTGAGGAAAGTAAGACGAGAGCCATCAAACCATGTTTTGGTTCTCAATCTTTTTTTTTTTTTTTTTTTTTCCACAGCAAGACCGTACCATATAGCCATACCAACAAGAACACCATATAGGAGCTTTGTTTGAGTCAAAAGGTAACTTTAACAGATAATTTTGAGAACAAAGTTTGTTGCTATGAATTATTCCTTTATCCTGAAGCCTCTTCGTCATTAGATAACTGCCAAATTATGTAATCCATCGTACTAAAAAAATTGTGAAATATGGCAAAAAAAAAAAAAAAAAAGTGACAATATTTCAAACAAAAATAGAAATCTTGAGCCATGATATTTTAAATGTAAATAAAAAATATTCAAAATAAGGAGCAACTATATTTCAAACATTAAATTTTCGAACCAAGATATTTGCCGTGGTTGTTGGCACATTTTTAACTGGTACCACTCTAACGGAATTGAACCTAAATTGTTATATGTATGAATTCATGGGAGTTACTGATCCTTCTAACAGAAGTAATACATATCTCGATAAGAGCATAATGTCAGGATTCGTTGCATATGAAAAATATATTACCAGATATTGAACTAAAAGACACCCTTTGCTGTATGAAATAGCTCTTACTCATATGTGGATAATATTCAGTTTGACTTTCATATTTTTTTTCACTCAAGAATGCATGTGTTATATTCTGAACCTGATATCCAAAACAGTCCTTTTTTATGCAGTTTCTATTGTTCATGCAGAAATATTCACAATGCAATTATACTGTCACTTACCGTAATTTCCGGAAGAAATGCCACGGCGTTTACATGTTTAAAACTTAAATTTTCAGCGGGTGCGGCGTTTAGGTGCACTAAAAATAAAATATTTCCTATGATGGTCATTGTACATAGTTTGGTTGGCCTTGTCATTGTGCACAGACTGGTGCTGTTCCCACACAAAAGACCACTCAGTTGCTTTTTGCGAACGTTATTTTGTTTACATTCTTTCCCTTGAACGGACCTACATACCTTATTCACCCTAAACGAGATCTCAAAACAATAACATTCTTCCCCCTTTCAAATCAACATTCTCATCAGTTTGAATACTCTCTCTCCTCTGCCATTCGATGAATCTTCCAGGACCCATCCTCTCCCCACCCCTGCCTTTCTGCCTCGGAATAAGGAACTCTGACGTATTTCCCCTTCAGCATGAATGGGTTTTTCTTGGCATTCTGCCAGATACAGATCCCATCAGTTTGGGTACAAGTACTTGTTGGATAGTTTTTAAGTAAGAAAGGAGCGGAAATTTTTTGAAAATGTTCCTAAACGGCATAGAAGCTATACTGCTAGTTTTAAGCTTAATGTAATTTCACGTGCTAAACAAATTGGAAATCAAGCAGCAGCTCAAGAGTGTGAAGTGGACAACAGATGTATTCGACATTGGAGAACTGAAAAAGAACTTAAAAATATGCCACAACAGAAATGAGCCAAAAGAAGTGGTACTGTAAGGTGGCCAAATCTAGAGAACGACCTTGCAAACTGGATAAAGGAGCAACGAGGAAAGGGAATGGCAATTTCGACTGTAAAAATTCGCTTACAAGCAAAATTTATAGCAAAACGAATGAACATAAATGATTTCAAAGGAGGTATAGCAGATTTATGAAAAGAAAAAATATTTCTATGCGTACTAGAACAACAGTCGGGCAACAATTACCAATGGACTGGCAGGATAAAAAGTCATCTTTTCTGAAATATGTGACAGCTATTATTGACAAAAAAAAGTTATTCGGTCACAGATAATAAATATGGATGAAACGCCATTAGCTTTCAACTCTCCTGCAAACAAAACTGTTGATGAAACTGGTGAAAAAACTGTATCTGTGTTTATGACGGGGCATGAAAGAACGTCATTTATTTACATGTGTGTTAGCTTGAGCCGCAAACGGTGACAAGCTAACGCCGATGATCATTTTTAAACGAAAGACTGTTCCGAAGGGAGATTTTCCTAATGACGTAATTATTTGTGCAAACGAGAACGGCTAGATGTGCGAAACAATTATGCATGAGTGGCTACAAAAAGTTTGGCAGTGTCGTATGGGATCTTTTTTCCAACCAAAGGGTATTGATAATGGATTCCATGCGTGCTCATTTCTTTGAGTCAGTGAAAACCAGATGTCAAAAATTGTCTACGACCGAAGCAATAGTTCCTGGTGATTTGACAAAATCTTACAACCGTTAGATTTGTCAGGTAATAAATCCTTCAAAGCTGAAGTCCGAAAGCGGTGGGAGTGTTGGATGAGTGAAGGATTGCATACGTAAACCAAAAGCGGTAAAATGCGTAGAGCATCTTAGGAAGAAATTGCAAAGTGGGCAGGAAGTGCATGGAAATCGGTAGAAACATCGTCAATAATAGCAGGGTTCAAAAAAGCTGAAATTATATCTTTAGATAAAGAGACTGTAAACCAAGAGGATGAATGCGACGATCTGGAAGACTTAGAATTCAGATAGTGAAGAATAAGATTTTGATGGCTTCATATGATGTATAGTTTGCTGTAATTCGTAAGGAAAATTTAAAATTTCCTTTTGTTATCCAAATTTAATATTTCGTTGTTGCAACATTTTTTATAATATAGTCTGAGTATTATAAATATGGACTTGTTTAGTGGGTAAATATAAGTATATATGTGAAGGTAAATATATTTTCCACATTTCTTACCTTTAATTTATTTTTTGAGTTACGGTTTCATTTCATGCATTTTTCTTAACTGGTATGTTATATGTCAGGAGACTTGGTTGAGTTTTTGCATCGATACAGCCCACGACGATGTCACGCGCAATTTAATCTATTGCGGCGTTTACGCTGATGCGGCATTTCTGTGTAATTTTAATTTTTTTCCCGCCATTTTTCTCGAGTGCGGCGTTTGCGCTGATGCGGCATTTCTTCCGGAAATTACGGTAATTAATCTTAGTCTTAAACATTAAAATTAATCTTATATTGTAAGATTATTAAATCTTAAACATTATTATTAAATCTGTTTCTTTGCAGTGTCTTATAGGTAAGGTGAGTATCAGTCATCTCCACATTTAGTTTAACAGTACCTCTTCCTCATGCAAAATCAAAACTTATTGTACACGGCATCTAACTAATGTATTGCCAGACATAAGACTCATAAACCGTCTCACTGCACTTTAGTTTCTGTGCCAGCCTACTATTTGTAAAACCATAGACTTTTAGACTTTTTTACTTCAAGGCACTTTTGTGAGTTGTGTAATCCAGTTGGCCATTTGAGTGATCCATGACTAAATGCACGTGTTCTACTCTCATATTCACAGTGTCTTTTCTCTGAGGTTTCTTTAGTATGTTTGATGTACCATTAAAGTTTGTCAGTGAATTTTTAATCATCCTGAATGCAGGGATCTACCATCTTAAGTATCTTGTTAGGTTGTTATGATAATTTCTTTCAACTACTGTTAATCTCTGTTTAAAGCATTATGAAAAATCGTGCAGGCCACGATGATTTAAATTATAACATGATTATTTTAGTAAAAAATTTTAGATAATGTCTTTAAAATCTTTAGTCTTTTAGTTTCCTTAACTTTTAAATGAAATGATTTTCATAAACAGTACTTAAACATTGCAACTATTTTTTATGAAAATTATTTCATTTACCTGTGTAAAAATGCACAATTGCTTGCTGTATATTGATTTTAATTTGCTGCTGTAGAACATTTTAATTATATTTTAAGTAGTACATTAAAGCTTATATTTAGTCAAACTTTTGCCTTTAGCTTCTCTCCATCATTACAAATTATTATTTAAGGTAGAAAATTTTGCTTTGCACTTGATTTCTATGGCTCTATGTCCATAGTATAGTATTTTAAATTCTGCAGCAGCAAAGACTACTGCATCTGCTACCAGCAGTCCTGTAATATCTAATGTTATTTCTCTGGCATCAGCTACTAGATCTGTAGCTCCAGGTTTAGTTAACAAGTTAGTTCCTCAGAAGCTCGTCACTGCTCGTCAACAAGGACCTGTAACTGTCATTGCACCCAAGGTTTGTAAAAAATATTTCTTAGCCTGGAGTTATTTATTTATTTATTTTATTTATTTATTTATAGTGAACTTTACTTTTGATTTGTAGGATTTTCTTATTTCCTTATAATTAAAATATATAAACAAACATATTTCAGAAATCTTGGAAACTTTTTATCGTCGGCAGTTATGCCCGCTAAAAAAGATGTTGAGATTAGTCAATTAAAAACCGAAACTTTCTGCAGTACACTGCTACAAACGTGCGCTGTAATGATATGTTCATTCTCTGATAAGGATAATTTAAAACCATTTTATATTCTATTAGACAATGGTTCGATGAGAAGGTTTATAATTCAGAACATACCAGAAAAATGTAAATTACCTGTTATTAAAATAGACTGTCAGTATTTACCTTTGAGGTTAACCAGGCAGCAGAACGAACTTATAATGTTGTGAAAGTCAAAATCGAAACCAGAAATGAACCTTCACTAAACATAAAAGTTGAAGCTTTAGAAACTAACCAGATATGTATAACTAATTTACCTCTTCCTGATATATCCCACTTGCCAAAATTAACTAAGAATTAATAGGATTGCAGTTAGCTGGTTTTTGTGAATACACTGTCAAAAACATTGCTGTTCTGATTGGAGCATATTACTATCACAAAGGAATAACAGGTAGACTTAAATGTTTTAATAATAAACTTATAACTTCCAAAACAATATTTGGATGGTGCCTTCAATGCCGCACTGATTCTAATGGTGAATTACTAAATATGGACATTATTGTTGATAATAAATTGATCTCAACACATTTGAAGCAGTTGCACTGGAATTGAAAAGAGAAGGAAAATAGTAAAATAGATAATGATATTTTAGAGAATTTTAACAGAACTATCAAATTTAAAGAAAAGCAGTTTGAAGTTAAATTCCCTTGGAATGAAAATTTGTCTGTATTAAAAATTAATTATGTAAATGCAGAAGCTTGCCTTTATAAACTAGTTAAAAGGCTGAGAAATGATCCACTATTTCATCAGTAGTATCAGTCAGTTATAGAACGGCATTTAAAAATGGGTATAGCTGAGGAAATTAATCAAAGTTCTGCAGAAACAAAAGAATCTATTACATGCCTCATCAGCCAGTTATTCGACCTTGATAAACCCTTAAGAGTTGTATTTGATGCAATCAGCCATTCGAAAAATGAATATTCTGTAAATGATTTTCTCTATTCCAGTCCTAATTTAAATCCATCATTGTTAGAAATATTAATACAATTTTGTATGTATAATATAGCATTTACTGCCAACATCGAACAAGCCTTTTTCCAAATTTCACTGTCACCCAAAGATAGGGATGCTGTAAAACTTTTGTGTGCAAATAACCTTACAGATGAAGATGGAAAATCTAATATGAAAGTGCTTAGGATGTCTTGCATTTTCTTTGGTACTACATCCAGCCCATTTTTGCTATAAAACACTATATACCGTATTTGATCGCATATAAGACGCACTTTTTTTCTTAAATTTGGTCTCAAAAAAGTTACATGCGTCTTATATGTGAAGGACACGGGTTAACTTTCAATACTGAATGCTATTTTTAGCCCGGATAAAGATGTAGACACACATAACTTTTTCTACATCTACATCTGTGTGGCCTTCTAAGTAAGGGTGCGTCTTATATGCCGTCAAATATGGTAAATACCTTTAAAGAAACAAATCAGGAAGCAGTTAAACTATTGAACAGTTGTTTATATGTAGGCAATTTAATTGGTGGGGATAGAGAGAAGAACAAAGCTAAATTCATATTTGAAGATATTAGATATGCATTGAAAGCTGCTGGTTTCAATATGTGAAAATGGAAAATAAATTGTGCGAATTTACAGGAAGTTTTTGATGAACATGAAAATGGGGAAATGTAGAAAGTTCTGGAACAAAAAGATATAAATGGAATTACAAAGAAGATCTTTTGAAGATAGAATCATAATATCTAGGTAATCAAACTCAAGAACAAACAAAGCTTTATGATCCTATTGGATTTATAAGTCCATTCACTCACTATTACGGCAAAAATACTAATGCCGGAATTTTGGCTACATGAAATAGATTGGGATGATCTGTTGCCATCAGACTTTGAACACAGAATGAGAAAATGGTCTAATGAACTGTCAACGATTCAGAATATAAACATTCCGCAACATTACTTCTGAAAGACTAATAAGTCTGAATTGAGAGATGTAATTTCAGAAGTAATGTTGCGGAATGTTTATATTCTGAATCGTTGACAGTTCATTAGACCATTTTTCTCATTCTGTGTTCAAAGTCTGATGGCAACAGATCATCCCAATCTATTTCATGTAGCCGAAATTCCTACATTAGTATTTTTGCCTTCATAATCAGTTAATGAATCCAAATTTGAGTAAATTTTTAACTGCTTAATGATATATTTTAGAAATCTTAAACCATTCTATGTCTGAGCTCTTCTTCTTCTTTTTCTTTTCTTTTCTTTTTTTTTTTTTTTTAACACCCGATGTATTTTAGCTTTGTTGTTAAATCCAAAATTATTTTGAATTAAAATGTGTCAGATAAAAATTCTGTTTTAGTATTTATATTTATATCATACCTATTGATTGCATGTTCCAGTTACTTATATTTTTTTAGCTGTGCTTTGTAAAACATATTCTAGTATGAATGTTATGAAAATGAAAAGGTAATTTTAAAAATAATGTGGACAGCATGGATATTTTTAAAATTTGACTTTTAGGAACTGATATATATTGTTCCATATTTTGTCTTTCAGTCACAAAATGCATCATCTACAATTACCTCACCATCTACGTCAAATGCAATGGCAAGTACATCAGGAACTCAAGTGGTTAGAGAAGTCGTTGTAAAACCCCCAGCACCTAAATCAGTGAAAAATAAAACTGTATCATGTAAGCCAATTATGCAGACCAAAGGTGTTTCATGCAAACCTCATCCTTGTCATAAAGCTGTTCAGACTGGTAATTATGGATGTGAATTATTTATCAAACACATTAATTTTGATAAAGGAGTACAAACTTATGTGTATTTTTGACTGTTTTATAACTCATTCTTTTTGCTATATTTTACATTTTTTACATTATATATATATATATATCATTGAAAAAAAAATTTTTTAAATGTCTGCATAGATGAGAGTCCAAAGCCAATTTTCTTTCCTATACCTGTGCCTGTATATGTTCCAACTCCATTACACATGTTTTCTCGTCCGGTTCCATGCCCAGTACCATTTCCTGTGCCAATACCTATACCCATTATGGTAGCCACATCTAAGGAGTCACCCAGTCAAGTTATAAAGCATCTGAAAGATATACAAGTATGTTTCCTATTTTTGCTTACATTAAATAATTCTTTCACCATTGTAAATGATGGGATTAATTTTTTTTTTTTTTTTTTTTTTTTTTTTTTTTTTTTTTTTTTTTAAATCTGTCGTGGGATTTTAATTTTCAAATAGTTCTAAAAAGTAACAGAATGTTATCTTTTGATATTTTATATGACTTAGATGACGATGAAAAAAGTTGATTTGTGAAGAAGTAGGTGCACAATGACGAAGTGACAATGCATAAAAAATGCTAGCAATCATAATGTATGATTTAACACATTTTTATTCTGGAGAAGCACATTCTTAATATGAATTACATAGCATAATCGCTGCAATATGCATGCCTGTTCTTGATCATATCTGTGCCTTTTCTTCATCTTTATGACAACTAATTTTGATAGAGAAAAGCAGCAAGTAGCAAAATTTGAAAGGAGAAAAGCAAGTGAAAGAATGCAGCATGTTCAAGATGAAAGCTTGATTTAAAATAAAATAAAATAAAATAGTGTTGGTTCAGTTTTGTAATTGGTTAATTGCAAGTGCTTGTATCATTAGTATATGTGATAATCATATGAAGAGGATTAATTATGAAGTGATGCAGTATAGAATGATTTATTAAAAGCAGTTACTATTTTTAAAATGAAAAGGGAAATTAAAATTAGAATTTCGTTTTAAATTTTTTTATCTTGCATGTCTAAGCTTCCGAGTCTCAAGAAAGCCCGCTTGTGTGAGTTCTGTATTCTGTAACATTTGACAGCTTCTTTTGTTTTCTGCCTTTATTTTCTTTTAGGTTAGCTATGATTTATAATATTTTTTCTACTTTCCTGTTTTACACTCTCTAAGTTTACTCACAACTTTGCTTACAATTTACGTGACGCAGCCCTTACTACATTTAAATTTTTTAATTTATATATTCTTCACAATTTTTGAATTCTTTTACTTTTTCAAAAAAAATTATCATGGTACATTGCAATTTAAAAAAAATATTATTTAAACTCTACAGCTTATTCTATTCATTGAACCTAAACACTAACTTTTTCGTGTTGTTTAATACTTCTCTTGAACTGAATTTGAGATCATTTTGGGATTCATTTTCCAGTGAATTATACTTCACTTAAACTTAAACTGGCAGTTTTGGGATTCATAAACGAGGTAATTCAATGTTATTTTTCAAATTATTCATTTTTACTTCTACAATATAAGTTTTTCTAATTATTTTTGTTGAATTATCAGTTTTAAATTCACATCTGAACACATTTTAGGCTTTGGTACTATACTGGAGTATATATTTTGTTATTTCAATTTTTTTGGCTCTTGTGTTACAGATTTTAAGAACTTACTTCAGTAATTGTTATTTTTATATTTTTTAGATAAATTATTTTCATTTTTCTTTTATTTTTGCATATGATAAATTACTTCTACTTTATGTGTTTCTGCAGTCTGTCCACTAAAATGTAAAAAATTTTATTACATTTTTTATGCTTTTTTGCTTGTTCATGAATAATGCTTTTATTTTTTTTTATTATTATTTAACGCGGCGTCTATGTTTTCAAAATTTGCATTTAATGTTGTTTTCTCAATTCTAAATTAAAAAAATTGCATATGGTTTTGTTTTCTCAAACGTTAGATTATTATATTTGTAATTGTTTTTTTTTGGGGGGGGGGGGTTCGAACTACTCAATTTAAAAAAATTTATCCATTATTTTGTTGTTGTTTCAAATTTGCCCCCTTTTTAATGATTCAATTTTTGCTCTGCTTACATCAGCCTGTAGGGGTTGAATTGATAAAGACACAGATTACATTAATTATTTTTTAATTTTCATCTGTGTCCTCATCAGTTTAGAAACAGACTAATTTATTTATTTACGTCTTCAGCCCCTTATGATACAACGAAAAATGTAAATATAATTTTTGGTTTTTGGATGTGTTTATTCTGAATTGAAAATGGGATGGATTTTAATATATTTATACCTTTATTTTATTTTGCTTTATATTTATGTACTACCTCCATCACATCTTCACTTAGTGTAAAGCCTTGTATATATACATATACTAGCTGAAGTACCTAACATCACCTAGGCTTTATACAGAGTGAAGAGGTGAAACATAGAAATGGACATTCTTCATTAAATTTATAGGTGGTTTTAATGAATCCAGCTTGTCTAATTGAATCTGTGTTTACTGATTTTAAATTGTTTAGTTTAATTAATAACAAAATAATTTTGAAAGAAAAGTTAATATCTTTGCTAAATGAAAGCAAACTTTAAAATGTTTTAATTTGGCCATTGGCAACACATTTCTCTTAAATCCGAGTCTGTTTATTAAATTCAAAAGTAAAATATATTACATTTTTCCTAGTAGCAACACACTACTTTTATATCAATGTGTTTCCTGATTTATTTTGAAACATAAAATACCTTACGCTTTGTGAGTGGCAATACAAAGCTGAGTTTTTAATCAAAAGTTCATCAAATTAGCATAAAATATACGTATATAAAGAGTGTGGACCCTGTAGAATGGTTTTGGAGAAATCTTAGATTGATAGTGCTTCTTATATCTTCTTGTTTGTACGAAATTTCAAAATAGAATAAAACTGCAGATTTGTACAAGAGGCACAGTCATGTACACTTTTCTGTATACAAAGTTCATCATGTTCACAAAAGTCCTTACTTGGCTTTTATTTTAACACCTATTGGTTGTAGACATATGCTTGCAGTTGGAAAAATACTTTAAATGATGCAAATATTCATATTTTGGTATTTTTAAATATGAATTTTGTTTTTGATATGCAACATAATTGTTATATGGCCTGGATCCTTGTACTTATATTTAGAAAAATTTTATACTCATGGTAAAAAATTTTAAAAAGTTTGACTCTTGCACAGCAAAAATTTAACAAGGTATTAATTTTAGTTTGTAATTTTTGACAGCATTTACAACTTGCTTTAAGAGACTCCTCCTCCCCTTAAGTGTCGCTCTTTAGTGATTTTCTAGTGTTTAACAGTTTTGTATTATAAGTTTTCAAATGCTAAAAATTTATATTTACCCCCCCCCCCAAAATTTAATTTAAGGATTTTGTCTAAGAGTTTTAACTATTTAACATTATGCCAACCTGGTATAAAAATTACCTGGTCACTGTGTAGGAAACAAAATTTATATTCAGTCAGCAATTTTCATGGATCATCTGACGTGCACCTGACGTCATGCACGGGTTGACTGTACTTTCTTTGACTGGCTACAGCTTAAGTCTAAATCCTATTTCACAGCTATGAATGCTGCATTAGAATCAGTATTAGATCAAGTCTTAGAATCAAAAGCAAAGTTTCTGAATTACATTTTAGCTAAAGCCAAAAAAAAACTTTCTTTATGTTAATATTAATTTCATTATCTAATATTCCGCCTTTTTTTATGGTTAAGAATATATCCATGTGTAATTATTTCAAATTTATGACATTTAGATATACGAGGGCTATTCAAAAAGTAAGGAACGTTTCAGTCAGCGCACCGATCAAGTATATTTTGGTGTCTGCGTGCTCGCCATCTCAGTCAGCGTCCAGCCATCACAACGGAAACATTTCCATGTTGCCCGTTTTTATATATATATATATATATATATATATATATTCAAATTTAAAATGTGCCCTGCAATTGAAAATCCCGCCAGTTGTGAGGTGCGGTCTGTGATACGGTTTTTGTTGGCAAGAAACCTGAAACCTATGGAAATTTATCGGCAAGTATGTGAAGTGTACAGAAACAACTTAATGAATGAAAGTTCAATCTGGAAATGGTGCATTCAGTTTAAAAATGACCGAACTAACGTTCACTTTGAAGAGAAAAGTGGACGCCCTAGCATTGTGACTGACGAACTGGTCCCTAAAGTTGATGAAAAGATTCGTGAAAACCGCCATTTCACAATAGCTAAGCTTTCGCTTAGTTTGCCACAAGTTTCACGCAATTTGTTGTTTTAAATTGTCACAAAAAAGCTAGGCTACCGCAAATTTTGTGCAAGATGGATGCCAAAATTGCTTACAGACCACCATAAAGGTCAGCGAATGGGGGCAGCTTTGACATTTCTAGAGGCCTACGACAGACATGGTGATTCATTACTGGATCGAATCGTAACTGGTGATGAGACGGTTGTGAGACACATGAACTGCGAGACAAAATTACAGTCCATGCAGTGGGGGCTCACAAGTTCCCCCCCCCAAAAAAAAAACGAAGAAAATGTTTGCAAACCTTGTCACCAAAGAAGATTATGGCGACTGTGTTTTGGGATAGGCAAGGTGTGCTTCTGATTGATTTTCTCGAACATGGTGCCACAATAAACTCTGAGCGATACTGTCAAACTTTGCACAACCTTAGGAGAGCAGTTCAAAACGAGCACCGAGGAAAGTTGCCTTCCAAAATTTTGTTTTTGCACGACAATGCCCGACCCCACACGGCAAACCACACTCAAGAACTCCTTAATTCATTCATATGGGAGGTTTTCCCTCATCCACCCTATAGTCCCGATCTTGCGCCTAGTGATTTTCTCTTGTTCCAAGAATAAAGAACTGGCTAGCAACACAGCGCTTTCATGATGACAAGGAGCTGCGGTTGCACGTCACTGAGTGGCTGAGATCACAGGCAGGAGAATTTTATGACGAAGGAATTTCAATGCTTGTCCACTGCTATGATAAGTGCCTCAATTTGTTTGGTAATTATGTAGAAAAGTAGAATTTTAGTCGCTCTTTCTGATGTATATAATAATGTTTTTTCTTGTACTTAGTTTCTTTTTAATTCCACAACATTCCTTACTTTCTGAATAGCCTACATATATCAAATTTTTCTATAAAATTCATTGTATGCTTTTTTTTTTTTTTTTTCAAATTTTGTTTTCCAAAACTCTTCTAGTTTTTGCTTTCATGAAGTTGGGGACTATGAATTTATCTTGATTAACAGAGAATAGTGTGCTAATTCTTTCAAATGATATCTCCTCATACTCTTCTATAGAGTGTGTGCTGTAGCCAGTGACAGCCATTCATTAATATTCAATTATTACGTGCCTTGTGAATGTGGTATGACTTTTAAAAAGAAGTGTATAATTTTGGACATTAGAAAAATTAAAGAGGATGTAATAATATCATCTATCTTTATTGCTAAGGTTTTGCTATCTCTGAATGACCACAGGATTTAGCATGACTTCTTGGGAACAGAAATCACATTCTTGTGTTGTGTGTTGTTGACTGTCAACTTTTTTTTTTAATTTAATTTTATTTTATTGTGACAAAATCTGAGGTAGTTGTTTAACATCACAAATGCAAACTGTGTTCACTTATGGCCACTGAGGTGCATAACTGGAGTGCGAACTGAGCTCGTTCATGACCATCAAAAGGTTAAAAATATTACAATGAGCTGATTTTTTCTCCTGCTGTAAAAGTGGCTCAAGTTTAGATCTGTACATCTTTTTACACTAAGACTTTTATTGATATGAATATGAAAACTTCTTTTATGAAAACCTTTTGAGCATTGAAAGGATTGGAAGACTGGGAATAATTTAAATGTTGAAATGATTGGAATGACACACACAAATAACAATGATAATGATATTTAACTGTGGATTGTAATGAGCCAATTGCAACAAAGTTCCTCATCAAGTATATGGGATTAGGCATTTATTAGATTCTTATCAGCTGTTGAAATTTATCTAAGCTGCATCTTCAGAAGTACTTCTTGCATGTATAGTAGTATTCCTAATTTTATACATAAATATCTGCTGCTCCTGCACTTAAAATAGTGCCATATCAATGAATTTGATATGTATGTATAGGAGTTTTAGCATTATTTAAAGTATGACATTTAATTCATATTCCAGTCTGAAGAACTGTACTAAGAAATAACAATGTGAAGCTTAATGAAAATCGTTAAGGAGTTGAAGGTTTGGAAATGGTGTGTTAAATATTTTTTGTACATAGTCATAGAACTAGCAGGTATTTTTATAAACTGTAGTAACAGAAGTAGGCAAATACATTGAATATGTGAGCATAGAACATATATCATAAATGTTCTTGTATTCATATATCATAAATGAACTAACTGTAGTGACTATTTGTATGAGAGACAAGCACATGCTGATTTTGCTATCCTGTATTTTTTCATATTTCATTCATTGTGATAACAGATGGGAGATGTTTATACTAGCTAGTTAAATATTTCAGCCAAACCTTGTTATTTATGTTATGCAAAAAAAAAAAAAAATTGAAATGGTTAATATTTTCTTTCTGTATGAATTAATAATTTGATGTATAAATAAATATATGCCCATATGTATCTAGAAACAGAAAAGTTGTTATATTCTACTTTGGATAGTAAAAACCCCCTTTCAATAGAGTTCATTTAATAATTCAGTGTAATCCATTTCAGGAGAAAATACCTTCAAACCCATATGAAGCTGAACTGTTGATGATGGCAGAAATGGTTGCTGAAGATGGAAGTAAAACTCAAAAAGGCAAGCTTTATTCTTAATTATAATTTCATAGGTGAAGTGAATGTATTTTATATTTTAAGCTTTATGCAATAAAGAATATTAATAATACTGAATGTGTAACTTCTGAGATATGCATTTTTTAAAGTCATCTGTCTTATCAGAAATATTACAAAAAAATATTATTCTTGCTTAAATGTTGTTGTTGTTTGTCCATATTACATGGAACAATGGTTACCAGAGCCTACTCTGAAGAGAGGTTGGACTTCTATTTTCCACCCCAATTTTGAGGGAGAGCTTCCAGGGGGGATTCGGAGGTCTACCACTTCTCTCCTGTCCCACCAATCCACACGAGAGGACTTTCGGCTCGCCACATATTTAGAGTGCCACCATGCTGCACCGACACTATACATTTACAAACATCCATATTTTATCCAGGATTTGAACCCAGCCCCTTTGGTACTATAGTAGACTCCCCTAACCACTATACTGTCTGGGCGCTGTGCTTAAATAATAGTAAAAATTAAAATCTTTAAATAACATTTCTGCTGGTTTTCTGTCACATTAGGCACATATAAAAGGCTATTCTTTCAGAGTAATTCAGAAATTTTGATTGTCTGTTGCTACATCTTCAGTACTGTTATTAGTCATGGATATGTGCAGTGAATTTCATTCTTTATAACCTTTTTCTTGCAATTTTTGTTACCTGGGTAAAATTTCCCCTCATCGAGTTTTGATGCTTATGCAATTTTCCTTTTGATAAGAAGCTACTAGGAAACCTAGTTGGATTATAAATATAGATAGTAGTAAACAATTTACTCCTTAAACACATATAAGAGGAAAGTGAAAATCAGTTTTTCCCAAAATTGATTTTTTGTTTCAAAGAGCCCTTTTTGCTTCTTGTATTTCTTCCTGGTTTTCATTTCTTTTAATGCATTCTTCCAAATTTTTTGACTGCAGAAGTTGATCTCCTTTTCTTTTCTATCAGCAACTGAGGACAAAATAAATAAAGACCAAAATTAATGTTTGTACCATAAAATTGATGAATTAGAAATTTGAAAAACAGCGAGAAGGTTTTTGTGAGCATTAGCTTCAGAATTGCTCACAATTATGCAGCTTTGAGTGTACTGAAATTAATGTGGAATTGCTTCAGTTTTTAGAAGTCATGATGTTCTGTGTTACCAAATTCTTCGTTAAAAGCACATGCAGACACAAACTAGAAAAAGAAAAGAAAAAGATCTGACTTTGACCTAAGATTAATACTGCCGATATACAAAAATGGCATACCAAAATAATATACGTAAAAATAATTCCCTATACTCACAACTAAGCGTAGTCTACAAAGCTGGTGCATGTTGATGGTGCTGCAAGATTCAGGAAATGATAGTGCGGGAAAAGAGTTTGTTTAGAAATCATTTGATTGCTTTCTTGTGAAATTCAAAAGTTTATGTTCCACACTGGAAGAAGTTTTATTCTTGAAAAATTGGTATTTGAATGGTAAAAATGCAGTGAAAACTGCAATAAATGTTTAACAGTATTTTTAAAAATTCTCTTAATTTGTCACATGACATTGTTGTGGTGGTTAAAAAAAGGGGGGATGAGAATGGAAGTGTTTGATGATAACATAGGAATAATGGCTAGAGAACGAGAAACGATCGAAATGAAAAAGAACCTGGATCATGCATATGATATTCTGCAAATAATACCTTGGGATTTCATTCAAAAATGTTTGCATAGAAAATTGGATGTTGCATATTTGCCAACTTTTTTTAATTTTTCATTATTTTTATGAAAACTGCTCTAATTTTAAGATCTTTTACGTAAATTAATTTTTTTATATAAATTTTACCTCTTCACCCCCTTTGTAAAAAGCCAGTTTGTGGTGGTTTGTTGTCAAACTGTTTTTTAAATGAGTGCCAGTGGCAAACAATTAAGTTATCATTAAAATTTGTCCCTTTTATTACATGAAGAATAAGTTATTATTTTAGAATTATGAATTCTTTTATTTTGTGTTGCAGTTTACTGACTTATCACCATTTTGGCAATTTTATGATCAATTTGTCTACAAAAATTTTGATTTAATTTTTGTAAATTCTATGACAGTTTTTTAATTTTGCTCATATTTGTCAAATATTCATCTTCTGGTATTATTAAAATAACTATAATATATTGAGTTTTTACTAAAGTAACTTTAAAATAAAATGTTTTCATTTTTCCCTATCATATTTAAAATTCCTTTACCTTTCATTCTGGAGATATTTGAACAATTTGGTTCTGAAATTTAAAATATGAATGTTATGACTAGTTTATGAACTGCTTTTTAGAAGGAACTAAATAGCTAATGTAAATATGCTAAAATTAATTTTATTTTTTCCATTTTTTATGATTATTGGTAGGTATGACGCTTGTGCTGTTTCAGCATGGTGCATTATAAAACGTGATTTGTAATTGTTCTATGCAAATTTTGAGCTCATCTGTCATACTACAGTATTGGGAATTTGCCAACTGAATGTGTTGTGTGTTTGTTATAGAACAATAATGCCAACACTGTTATGGTACTGGTATAGCTTGTTTTTGGCTAAATGGTTATATGAACCATTGAATTGCCCAATTTGGTGCAGAATTCCTTCATCCTGAAAATGTAATCATTTTGGGTGCCATATGTAATACTGGCATTATTAGTTCATTTTTTATTGATTCTTCTATCAGTGCTGCAAGTTTTGACAACTTTTTAATAAGAATATTATTCTTTGGTACAGAAAAAAAAAGATATACTTTATTCAAAATTACACGTTTCAGTTGATTGGAACACCATCCCATCCATGTGATGATATTGGCTTGATCCGATAACATGAAACATAGATTTTTTGCTAAGGTTTCTCATGATTCTTTTCTACTGCTCTTGTTTGCTTTGACAGACATAATTTTATTTATTGCCAATTGACCTTTTTATAGAATTTTTTTACTGCATTTTGAATTCTTTTTATGGGAAGGACAGAGTTCATCATAGCAACCTCCAACCATGTTCAGTTCTTCAATGTTGCCACCAGTAGTAAATTTGTTTAATTCCATGACATGCTATTGAGCATTTCAGTTTATTGCTTTGCCAAAGTGTGATAGCAAATGGATAGCATTTGAATGTCTCTTCTTTTTTATCATCCTTTATAGTAATCTTCATTCTTTTTTTAATAATTGTCTTTTTTTATTTTATTTTATTGCAGATTTACTGTAATCCAGTAACCTATCTTTCAGATAGGCATTTCAGACAATCTGAATTTAATTGCTATGCTTAATTGTAGGGTTCTGAGCAGAAATGAACCCAGTTTATCATATCAGATTTTGAAATATTGGCTTTTAAAACTAATCAACTTTGGAGTGCACCTAATAGTCTAATTTATATATATATAAATCAGATAATATTAAGTGAACCCCCTTACCATGTTAAAAAATTTGTGGGAACTCTTTTTGCATGTCGTTTTATGCAAAAAATGACGACATAGGGACTTCACTATAGGGATTCACTCCATGTTCAGATCTTCAAAGTTGCCACCAGTAGTAAATTTGTTTTATTCCGTGACATGCTATTTAGCATTTCAGTTTATTGCTTTGCCAAAGTGTGATAGCAAATGGATAGCATTTGAATGTCTCTTCTTTTTTATCATCCTTTATAGTAATCTTCATTCTTTTCTTAATAATTGTCTTTTATTTTATTTTATTTTATTGCAGATTTACTTGTAATCCAGTAACCTATCTTTCAGATAGGCATTTCAGACAATCTGCATTTAATTGCTATGCTTAATTGTAGGGTTCTGAGCAGAAATGAACCCAGTTTATCATATCAGATTTTGAAATATTGGCTTTTAAAACTAATCAATTTTGGAGTGCACCTAATAGTCTAATTTATATATATATAAATCAGATAATATTAAGTGAACCCCCTTACCATGTTAAAAAATTTGTGGAAACTCTTTTTGCAAAACAATCAGAACACAAGGGAACCAAATCCACAAGTCACTGAGAATTAAATCTTCAAGAAGTAAGGGGAAAGAACAGTTATTTTTTCAATCGCAGTTTATTGAACAAATGAAAAAAAGTGAAAATTTCAAATTCTTTTTTAAAGTACCATTTTTGAAAAATGAAGTAATGGAATTTGAAAGGACAATTAGAAATATGCAAAACTTCGAAGAACCCTTGCAACATCTTCATTCATCAACATAAAATAGTTCATTCATTTCTTCCTCGTCAACTGCAAATCTTATTCTTTCAGAAGACCTAATACAGAAGCTCCTTCACAATATTATTTAAATTGATCATACATCTTCTTGGTGCAATGAACCTGCTTCCACCACAATTGTTGCTCATGAAGTTTCAAAGGAAACCAAATCGACCAAAGAAATTAATTGGTTGTACAGTTTTCAAGAGATTTAGTATGAAAAATTTTGTATTTTTTCATGACCATAATTTCAAATGCTGTGGACTTATGATTTTTCTACTATTTCGATCCAATCATTAGGCTAGTATATAAACTTTTATTTTCGGCTTACTGTACACTAGTTTTATAAAAGTCATTGCCATTTTGATATTGCAATTCTGACCAGCACATGAATCAGAATACAAAATTACGAGTTCATGTGTTTCTGCATGTGCTTGCAAGTGTTTCACCAAGCAGGACATATATCATGGAACCCTCTACCTTCCTCACTTTCATCCCACATAAACATGAATGAACTATTCAAATTGAACGAATTCATCCCGAAATTGTATACCTACAAATTTTTATTTTAGTATGCAGTTGATATGGTCAACTTCAGGAATGACAACACTATTTTTAAGCTGTGTAAGTATTGGTAGAGGTGAGCAACTGATCTTGTGTAAGAGATGTTCTAGCTTGGTCTCTTGCCAAGTGAATCTGTTTTTCAGTCTGTAAAATGTTTTTAAAATTTTCATTTTGTTCATATTTCAAGTTCATTACAAGCTCGATTGGTATCTTTAGCTGGTGGTTTAAAAGGCAAATTGAACTTCGA